CATCATCTGGAAAATAAGGGAAAGTGGATTCCAAAACTAGGTCCTGGAAGGCTCTCAACTTTGAAATTTTCTGTTTTAAAATATCAAGCATTCCTTTTCCCTGGCAAGATTTAATTAATTATATATTACATTGTAATATCTATGACTAGTGAACAGAAATGAGAGCAGGTGTTTAGCCTGGGAAAAGCAGGGCCAGGCTCAGTTCACCCTTGCAAGGGAGACAACCAAGGAGAGTCGGGGCTGCAGGCGAGACAGCAGGGCCGAGAGTCATCCATGCCAACCTGCTTCTGTTCTGTTGCTAAGAAAACGGCCCAGAAGCATTCAAGGGGTGCTTCTGAGGGCATCTTTCTCTCTAACTGAGAAACAGAGAGAAAAAAACCTACTGGTGTAGGATTTCACGTCCAGTGTCTATTGGGCAGTGTTGGGCTTCAGGGTTTAGGAAGCATGCTAGGCAGACCACAGGCAATTGAGCAGGGACTGACTGGGCTCCTGTCTTTATACCCAGGTTGGCATAGCAGAACACCTTGCCTCTGAAGATGCCAGCCACAGTTCCTGGCGAAACATCAGTAATCTGTTGTTTAGGCCATGGTCACTGAACCCCGAAGCCCAACAATGCCTGACAGGGAAAAAAAATTGGTAGATAAACGGTTTTGACAATGTTGTGAATTAATTAAAAAGAGGGAAAACTTGGAAAACTATATCATAAACAGACCTCTGAAAAGTTTGATCAGGTTGCCTGAAAGTCCTCTTCTTTGCCCCATTGTTTAAAAGAAAAAAAAAACTAATTCAAAGGCTGACCCCCCCCAAAAGTATCAGTGATCCACTGCTGCAAATCAGGCCAATCCTTCTCCTTCCAGGGTTTTAGAATGGACCTTATCACAAAAGGATAACAATTTCTGATAGCTCTACCAAATGCTGGGGATACAGCAGTGATTCATAAAGTTCATCCAGGCATAAGACCAATTTCAGCCCCAGACAAGTCCAGACCAATGAGTTAATGTTCCCACTCCTGAATTCCATCTGTAAAAGAAGGCCATCAGAACCGAACAATGTGTAGCATTTTCTCTTGTACAAACCTTATACTCAGTTGATGGACGCCAATTTCACATTCTTTAACGTACAGAGATGCCGAGTCAGGACAAGCTGAAGGAATGAGCTGCCAAGAAGCTGTCTGAGGTCATCCTACAACAGTTTTGTCTGATCTGTCTGGTTTTAATTCTACAAAAATTTTAAAAACTGCTTCATCAGAACAGAGCTGATCCAAAGAAATGCTATTATAAAAGGCCTGGCCTTTTATAAGGTTCATCAATCTTAAAATAGTCAATTTTTGCAGTTTTGAGGCGAAGAGCTGGGGTGGGGAGGCCACCAGGATAGGCTGTGCTGGGAGCCGTGGAGGGGAGGGGGCCCGGCACTGCCCTCCTCTCCTCATCCAGATCTGCTGTTCTCCTAGAGACCAAGAATTCAGGGCTTCCACCAAAAGGAAGCTCTGAGTTCCACCTCAGAGTGCGATGGTTTCCTTTGGGGCTCTTTCCTGTTTCGTGCCAACCCCTCCCAAGGCAACGGATGAGCGTCGTTATGTGAGAAAGAGGGTCTGTCACGGCCAGTTCTGACTCAGGGGGGGTGCTGAGGAGGAGGAGGAGGAGCCTCTGGAGCAGCTGGAAGCAGCAGAGGAGCAGGGCCCTGGCCCAGGGCCTCCTCCCAGCCTGAGCCAAGGGCTGACAGAGGAGGTCTGCAGGCTCCTGGTGAGGCCAGGCGAGGAGGTGGCTCCTGCACCTGGTGAGCTCTAGCAGGCAATCCTTCGTTGGGGACAACCACCCCCCTTGCCGGCTTCCTTGCCCATTGTACTGAACTCTTGTCTTGGGAAACCCGGTGCCTGGAACCTGACCTGCACCCTGGTGCTTTGTCTGCTGGGACTGGGACTGTACGTTTCCCAAGGGATTGGGGACATTGGCGGGGGGGGGGAGTGTGTGCGTTCATGCCCTGCCTGCCACTGCTGTATTACTTTACCCAGCCAAGCTTTGGCCTGTGTTCCCTGAGCAGTTGCGTGTGGCGGGCCCAGGATGGGACAGGACAGGACCTTCTGCTTGACAGGGCAGAAACTCTCCAGTTCCTGAGCCATTGTCTTGGGAGGGTTCAGCCAAAGCCTGTTCTTCCCCACCCAGCCTCCCCCAGCCTCCAGACACTGGGCAGGACCTTGGCAGCATCACTTGGTTGGTCTGGGGCAGAGATACGCAACTGAGTATTGTCAGTGTGCTGAAGACTGCATCCTCCTCCTCCTCCTCCTCCTCCTCCTCCTCCTCCTCCTCCTCCTCCTCCT